ATATTTTTAGGTAAACTGTTCCACATCAAAGTTATTCTGTTGAAGTAAAAGTCTTGAAAGGAAGACGTACGACAGGCATTTTTCTCAAAACAGTAGCAAGATTGCATATTTGTCAAGTTGACACATAATCAAATTAGGAATTTATATACAATGTTTGGTTTTGAATTAGTTCAAAACAGTCAGCTCAGTTGTATGGGTCTATGGTCTAAATTTATCTTTTTCTGTGTTTGAATTGACTTCAAAACCTAACAAACCCCCCCCCCTCCTCCCCCCAAAAAAAGATGAATAATGGTTGTGATCAGTTAATCAATTGGTTTCAGCATCCACATTGTCATTATTGGCATCATGTCTTCGAATGTAGGCAGCAATATAGTCCTCAACAGTGTGGTACAACTGGAAGCAGTCTTGTATACAGAGTGCTACTTTACAGATACTGCACTGAAAGCTAGACCCTTTCCTGGCCTCTTCCTTTTATCTCCTGTCCTTTTTAAAATCTTCTTTTGGGCAGGAAAGCAAACCACACATGCCTGGGTGATGTTGGACTTCTTCCCAGTCCCCAGTATTTCCTCTGGGAAGTGACCTCCAACTTGAAGGTGGGTTAAGCCTTTGGCTGACCTCCTTGGGTGGCCTCTTGGAGTAAGAGAATGGGAGACGCCAGAATTCCTAACAAGCTCCTTCACAAGCTCCCTTTGAAAGGTCCTTTGCAGCACAGGTGACCGGGTTCTTTGCTTGTTAAGGATGTAAGCATTCAGGATGCTGAAGGAAAACAGATGGAAGAACACTTTCTTCCACCATTTCATGGTGCGTCACCTGAAGCAAGAATAGGCCACCATCTGATCACACTTGTCAACTGCCCCCATGAACTTGTTGTAGTCATGTACAATCTGGGGTTTAGTGATTGGGCGCCCAGTTCCAGGGTGATTTCGGCCAACTTCTACATCTGCAATGGAATGAACTGATAACAGTATCTGGAATACTTTGCGGTCCTTAAATTTAACTGCTAGCAAAGTTCCATTGTTCTTGACAAACTTATCACCTTTTTTTTTCACTTGTGCCCTTTTAAATTCCTGGAGAATACCTTTCCTGTAGCAGGCTATTCCCAGGCCCCAGTGTTCTGCCTATAGAGCTCAGCAAATAAAGTAGGTGATGTGTAGTAGTTGTCAATATACAAACACCTACCCACATTCAAATAAGGTTGCATGAGCCTCATGACTAAGTTATATGTTTTACCTTTAACACTGGGTGGTTCTTGGTTTACACCAGTGTAAATTTCAAACCTACAACAATACCCATTACTTGAGTCACACAACTGGTATGACTTAACACCATACTTATCTGGCTTGTCTGGATTGTACACTTTAAAGTGCACTTTTCCTCTGAATGGAATCACTCCCTCATCTATGTGAATATTTTTGCTTGGCTTCCAGACATCTGAAAAATTCCCAGTGACAACACTGTATATAGTGCCAGGCTTGTGTACTGGGTTATACCCTTCCTGTCCTAGAGGAACATAATTATCAATATCGCACAAGTGAAAAAAGGTTAAAATGTTCATAAATTTGTCTCTTGACATAATTTGAGGGAAAAAGGGAGTA